TGGTGGCTAGAAATCTGATCAACAGGTTCTCACAAAGTCCAAATCCTGAATGGATCTAATTGACACAAAGTGGAGACTGTCCCACAGACCCGTAAATAGCAGGGTGTGATTAGACACTATTAGTATAGAGGAGCATCCCACCTGCCTCCCTCCACTTCCACCCCTGGGCTCCCTTGCCCCTGTGACAGTGGTGTACAAAGGCAGAGCACGTGCTCCCAGGCCTCCCCAGCAGCTGCCAGCTTACCAGCTGTCACAGCATGCCTTTAATGGGTTTGTGAAACCCAGGAACCTGACCCATTTCTCCTCTGGGGAGAGCATAACACAAGATGCCAAGCTGGATTCAGGAAGCTCCACCGTGTGAGACCAGTTTCCTCTGCCTTCCCGGGCAGGTGATTGTGGTTTATCCAGTGCCTAGAATCTCCAGATCTAAAACAAGTGCACAGAAGGCAGCAGGGTGAAATTGTGGCATTGTTTTTTGCTCACTTGCCATCATATTCTTTCCTTTTATTTAATTTTAATTCCATTTTCTGCCCACCCCAGCCCTAGATGTGCAGGCTCTGGTTCCCCTACCCAAAGGGTGTTGACTCTGTAGTGAAGGTCCGATTTCCCAGATCAATCAATGAACACATCTGTTCTGAGCAAGCATGTTAGACAGAGTCCTGTGTAGAGGAAGCCATGCCCTGAGGAGCTTCTAATTCAGTTGGAAAAGCAGATCATGTGGACAGGATGAGGCAGCATAAGAATCCGGCCATAGGAATGATCTGTGGGATTCTCAGATTAACCTGGGTCCACAGGTTAAGGAAGGGCTTCAGAGGCATCCGTAAACACCTGATGTTGCTTATAATTTGGCATATGCAAACATGCATTTCCATGGGTAAATTCATAGCTTCACTCCAAAAGTATTATCAGAGTCGGTGGCAAAGCATTTATTATGCCTCAGATAGTTGCTCAAGGTTTCACTGAGCAGGTCAGATGTGAACTCAGTCTTGGAATTGGAATTCAGAGTAACAGGGAGCCCTACAAGGAAAGATTTCCAGGCAGCATCATGGGAAATTACCTTTCATCTAGTTACCTTTCATCTCTCAAACTCAGTAAGATATAAATCTGTAAAATGTTGATAATCACTGCTTCCCAGAGTTTTGTGAAGGACTATAAACCTCTCTTTTTTTTTTCCTGTCTCATGCTGTTTCCCATACCTCAGTGCAATGTTCAACTCATATCATAGTGAATACTAATCAATTAATCAATATTTGATGAACATGTAACTTAACTGAAATAGTCAACATGAGAACAAAGTATTGCTTCAGCAAAAGATCTTCATTGTCCCAGGCAAGAGGAGGCACACACCTGTAATCCCTGCAACTTGGGAGGCTGAGGCAGGAGGATTGTAAAAGACAAGGCAAGTCTGGGCAACTTAGTGAGACCCTGTGTCAAACTTTCAAAAAGTAGATAAAAAGGGCTGGGGTTGTAACTCAGTGGCAAAGTACCCCTGGATTTAATCCCAGTACCCAACACACACACACACACCAAAAAAAACTTCGTTGCTAAGCACGTGTTTTTGGTACATTGGGAGAATAGCCAGGTGATCAGTAGCTGTGCCCTCAACACTGATAAAATGTGCAGTTTCCTAAGAGCCCAGAAGTGACCTCACCCTGCAAGAGCTCGGCCTCTTCACCCCAGCACCTGCTGATCTGCACGCACTCGCAGCCCTGCGGTCACTCCAGGGTCCTGCTGCCCTCAGCCAGGTGGCTATCAGGGGAGGACGGGAAGGACAGAACAGGGTGGGGGGGTTGCAGGGCCTCCATCGGGATTCCTCCTCCATGGGTGAGAGGGATCACTGATTGTTCCCTCTGTCACTTCTCAGGACAGCAGAAATGACAGAGTGCTCCTTTGCTGAACACTTTTGGTGTCCTCCACCTCCTCCCTGCAATTTCCTAGCCATGCTGTTGCTGAGAGAACTTCAGCCAATTTGTTTTCTTCTGTGTGCTGGCCAGTGGACAGGGTGACTCATCGTCATCGGTACTGAGATACTGCAAGAGGCTGGGCCAGTTGAGAGAGGAAAGGTTTTGTAAAAGGCACTGGTTGAAGGTGACAGGAATTCTCAAACCGAGTTGGGAAAAGACAGAGGCGATTTTTGCTTAAAGCAGTTCTCCACGGCAGGTGCCACTAAGGGAAGCCATGTGGGAGCTGACAGAATGAGCTCTGAAGAATTAAGAGCCTGTGTTCCAAATCTGTCAGTTAGAGATTTTGAGCATGTCACTTAATCTCTCTGAGCTTCCAGCTCCTCCTCTATAAATTAAGATGGTACCTACCTATATGGCTCAGGATCACTGTGATAGTAAGGAGGCCTCAAGCAATATAAAGGTATGGATACCTGTTGTTAACAGGTACATGAGCACACCTGCTGTGTACAGGGCACCTTGTGTGTGTCGGGTGCTTTTACACTTATCTGACACAGTCCTCACAGAAGCCCTCTGTGGTGTATTGGTTTTCCATTTTCAAGAATGAGGAATCAGAGGCTCCTGCAGCTAACATGTGTCAGAGTCTACATCTAAGTCTAGGTCTGTTTCCATTCTCACTGTTAAACTAGCTTATGATTCCTCTCCTATGTACTATTACTTTGTCCATTAAAATATCCCATACTCCCCTGGCCTTTACCATCCACCATGGACTGGGCCCATCCTCTTTCTGAACTTCTGTTGCTTTCTTTCTGATTTGACTTCTGATTTCCTCTTGGCCTGTTGCCAGCTCCCCTGCCCTGGCTTCCTTTCTAGAGCAGCCCTACTCTTGTGAAGCGAGAAAGAACGGTCACTCTCTTGAGGTTTCTGGACTCTGAAACCTCTCTGTAAGGAAGCTGAGTACACAGAGGAGGACTATGTTTTCTTGTCATCCTCCCTTCTGATGTCACTAAGCACAAGTGCCCCAGGCAAGACCCTTCAGGAAAACAGCAAGGCCGTAGCTCTTCACCTTGTCAGGTAGACTGGGGTGGGGGCGAGGCACTGAAGGGAAACACAGACTCCTAGTGGGAACCCTGCTCGGTCTCTTCCTTTGAGACAAGGCAAGGAGGTGTTGGTTCTACTCAGGAAATGGAAAAAACCATAGCTGGGCGTGGTAGTGGGTGCCTATAATCCTAGTGGCTCGGGAGGCTGAGGCCAGAGGACCAAGTTCAAAGCCAGCCTCAGCAACTTAGTGAGGCCCTGAGGAACTTAATGAAACCCTGTCACAACAACAAAACACAAAAAAGGGCTAGGGATGTGGCTCAGTGGTTAAGCACTTCTGGGTTCAATCACTGGTACAAAAAATAAAATAGAGAGAGAGAGAGAGAGGAGGTAGAGGAATTGCCTGACTCACTTAATGAGTGGGCATAAAACCAAAGGTTAGTTTACAGCTTCAGCCCATGTGTCTGTGGGGAGCTGGGTTCCTGGAGTTGTTGCTAAGGGTGAAGTGTTGGCCCTGCACCCCCCAATCCTTACACCTACGTCTTGAACCTACGTGATTGAGAGAGAATGTGGGATAGGGCTGCTTCCCATTCTAGAGTTCCACCTGACAAGCCCATCCAAGCAACACACTCCCAAGGTGGGCTTCCCCTTGGGGAGGTGCATACATAGCTACTGCCCATTCTCCCAGTGCCAGGAATCTATCCTACAATTAGGTAAGAGATAAATCAAAACAAAACTTGGCTGATGAAATTCAGGAGCCATCAGTGACCCTTGCCACACATGCAAATCCCAGCAGGCTGAACAAGAGCCTTTGTCTGGTCAGGAGAGTTCAGGATTATCTGGCCCACTTTGCTGATGTATGGAGGCACCGGCTGTCGGAGTGTTTACTAACCCTTATCACCTCAATGCTTTGGCCATTATCAGAGACAGGGCCGCCTGCCGGGGCTGGGGCTCGCACCCTCTCTATTACCACCTGTCATTGGCAGACAGTGTGCGCTGACACTGCCCAGTCCTGCCCGCCCAGGGAAGATAGTTTCTGACGGCTGATCAAAGAGGAGAAGCAAGGCCTGATAAAGAGTGTGTGTTTCATGTACTTTTAACTTTGGGAAACATTGGCATTTGCATTTTTTCCTCATCTTCCTGGTGCTGGTAGAAACCAAGCCCAGTATAGTGGGTTCAGTTACCTAATCGCTGGGGAAATGGTATGTGCTTAAAGCAACAGAGCATGACCATAATCTCCTTTGGAGAGAGTGGATGAAATAAGCTTTCACAGAAGACTTGCTGTAGAATAAAGTAGAATAATTTAAATTTGGACTTTGAAGTGATCTTGCATGTGAGATCTAATCTTGGCACTTAGCAGAACACCATGTACTTTTTGGAACTGGGAGCAGCTTTGGATTAAGGAAGAACCCTTGCTGAAGATGCTATGACCCAAGTGTATTGCCGTATCCCTAAAATGGTGCCCCATTATGCCCATATCCCTGAGCAGCTGGGAGATACATATTTTTTTTTGAGACTATCTGCAATGGGGTAGGATAAGAGAATGAGTTCTAGACTGAGACATCAACATATATGAGTTCTCATACCTAGTCTGCCACAAACCTGCCATTTATTCTTGGGCCATAACTTCTCTGAGGTTCGACTGTAAAATGAGGTATAGGTTACAGGATGCAATGGTTTAGAAAGCTATTTTGTTTTTGTTTAGGGCAAGTGATCCTTTCTTTAAATGAAATTTTAGGTGGAGTCCCATGGGTCAAATAGGAAAAAGCAGAGAAGTTTGGGTTGAATCCTGTCGCTCCTCAGAAACAGTTTTCAAACCCATCTGCCTCAATGACGTGGAGGTCACTCCCCGGAGACGCACACCCTGACCCAGTGGCCTGAACTCTTTTGCTCTGTGCTGCACACCCTTGACTCATGCTGTCCTGCCTGACTGCCCTTCGTCCATCCCATAGGACTGAAGTGCCCCAGGGCACAGAGGGGCATTGGTGGTAGGTTGACCAAAAGAATGGCCTGCCCTCTGAAGGCATGGACTTAACGTCACATGTCCCATGTGTGCCACAGGTACCTTTGACCGGAGTGTGACCCTGCTGGAGGTGTGCGGGAGCTGGCCTGAGGGCTTCGGGCTGCGGCACATGTCCTCCATGGAGCACACAGAGGAGGGCCTCCGGGAGCGGCTCGCTGATGCCATGGCTGAGTCACCAAGCCGGGACGTCGTGGGATCAGGAACAGGTAAAGGTGTCATTAGACTCGTACCCTGACTTGGTCCTGACTGGCGCTTGTTGAGCTTCTTTGGCAGAGAGAAGTTGTGTGTTCGTTTTTGCCGTTTGTTTCTCTAGTTGGCACTGAGTGCTGTCCATTTTAGAAGCCTCTAGTGTCGGGATGTTCTCAGTGGAACTGTCCCCTCCTACATGGAATAGCTCATAAGGAAGTACCGCGAGAAACACAATACAATTGTGTAAGTTGCTTGGGGAAGGGAGGCCCCAAGTTTGCCAGAAGCACTCAGGCATCGAGTCCGGGGCAGCTCACCTTCTTCATCCACACTCCACGCTTTATAGATTGGCGAGTGTCAGTGGGACCTGCCCGGCTAGGAGGGAGCCAGCAGTGTGGCTCAGCCCCCAGCCAGCTTTTTCTTATGCTGCCTTTGGCTCTATACTCTTGCCTCTGAGAGGGTCCAGGAACCAGGGTCTAGGGTGGCTTCCTGCATGCATAGGGCAGTGAGAAGATATATTTAGATGAGGAGTGAGTCTTGGCCCAGGCACGCATGTGTACATGTACGCACGCACGCACGCACGCACGCACGCACGCACTCACAGACACTCTCCTATGCTCTCAGGAAAGAACACAATCCTTCCATCTCTGTACAGCTCTAAAACAGGCTGCCTCTCCTTTTTCCAAAATATTGCCACCCTCTGTCTCTTGCTGTTAGCGACTACTCCAGCCCCGCATTTATGCCAGCACAACAAGCTTTGTCCCCACTTGCTGAGGTTAGTGGGGACTTTTAATTGGGTTGAGTAGACCCTGACTGGAGGCCTTTCCTCTCTTGCTTGCCTGAGTCCTCCAAGACTCTTAGGTCTTGCTATGAACAGCTCCATCCTGCCACCTACGCCTATCTAGAAAGAGGATCCCAGTGAGGAGAAACTTAAACCCCTGGGGCAGGTCCTGAAGGAGCACTGGGGCTGGGCTTGGAGCACCTGACGTGCTCACACCATCTCACTGCCCTAGAACTCCTCTGGGACTTTAGATATTTGGGTTCAGCAGTCAGGCTTCCCTTTTCTAGTTCCCCAGCCCAGCCCTGTCCCTCTGATCCTGCACCAAGAAGGCAGAGACATCACCTCCACAGCACTAACATAGCAATCTGCCCCTGGTGCCTGTGCCATCATTGGCAAATGAGCAGAATGGAATGAATGGGAATGGAAGGGAGGAAGAGAGGAGTTTGGCTGGATATCAGGGCCTGGGAGATGGCCACCTCTGAAGACTGGCCCCCTCTACACCCTCTTCTTCCCTGGAAAGAAAGATGTGGGCCTCAGAAGCTGCAACAAGCCTTGTCCCACGCGCTCACGCACACACACACACACACACACACACACATCACCCTACCATGGCAGCCTTAGCCTCATGCCCCAAACTCATGGGTGATACATCCTCAGGCCATTGCTGTCGCACCTGGGTAAGGAGCAGCTCTGCCACTTCCCAGCCCCTGAGCCCAGACTCCTTGGGAGCTGCCTAAAGAACAGAAACTTCCCCCTTCCTGAACCTTGCCTTTCTAAATAGCCACTCACTACATATCGGGGAATCTAGCTAGCCAAGGCTCCAGTGAACCAGAGCCTGGTATCCCTGAGCTCACCCCAGGAGCCTCCCTTCCCGAGACCCTGAGAGCTCCTGGACAGGTATTGTCGGCAGCTTCCTTCTCAGAAGCCCCGTGGCACCTCAGAGTCATTGGGCAGGCAGATCTGAAAGCGCCTTCAGTCAGAGTTGTGGCGCTTCTACCTGGCATAGACAGAAACCCGGGCAAAACTGGCAGCGTCCATCTGCCAGACAGCTGAGGGATTCAGGAGAGTCCTTGTGGCCTTAAGCAGGTTTATGAAATTAAAAAGAATGAAAAAAAAAGAAAGAGGAAATTAAAACTGCATGACCCACAGGTCAGAAAATAGGAGACTCCCTTTTTTTCAGCAGAGGGATTTTGTTTCTTCCTCAAACTGTCACTAAAAGAGATTCAGCTGGTCTTTTTTGACCATAATAGATGTATGGGTTTTTTTGTTTTTGATTTTTGGGTTTTTTTTTTTTTTTTTTGCCTCTGCCTCATTTTAAAGGCCAGTAAGTAAAGCAGATACTATGGAAGTTAGACCAGTTTCCTTCTCCATTCTTGAGAATCACTTTTCACATTTTCCAACTAGAGATAAAGTATCAGCCTAGAAGCACAGCCCGGTCCACCTATGGCAAGGACAGCCTACTTAGAGATAGCCAGGGAAATATAGTACCTCATGGGTCAGAATTTCCAGCAAGTCACCCTTTGCCCATAGCAACCTCTGTCCCTCTCTTTCTTCCCACAGCCCTACTTCTTAGTGGCTCATAGGACAAACACATAGGGTGACATCGAGTGTTTGCCTCTGCTGGGTACTCTGATGTACGAGAGATAAGTCAGTTCCTTTAATGCCTCCCAACAGGCCCTTCAGGTGATAGAGCAACCAGGGCTGATGCTTCTTTATCAAAGTAGGAGCAAAGCACAGAGGCCAAGTGGAAACTTGCTTTTATGACCCCTGACCTGAAGCCTATTGTACACGTGCTTGCTGCTACATAGGTTTAGCTAGTGCCATGCTGGAGAATGATTAACAAACAGCTCTCTAAAGAGAAGCAAGCCAGCCCTGCTTTGTGGATTTCTGTAGTGTAAAAACTCCTAACAGTGCCATTTTCAAGCTGTCAACATTATCAGGCTGCTAGCCAAATTCCAGAGAAGGAACCAGTCAGCTAAGCTAACCTGTACCATAGGGCCAAAGAGCTCTCCCAGAAGCAAGGCAATATCTTTTAAAACCCATTGTTCAAAGAAGGGGGGTGAGGAGCTGTTGGTCACAGGATACAAAGTGTTGGTTGGATAGGAAAAAAAAAAGTTCAAGATCTATTGTACAACATGATGACTATAGTTTATACCAATGTGTGATATTCTTGAAAACGGCTAAGCCAGCAGATTTAAAAAAAAAATGGTAAGTATGTGAGGCATTTCATGTGTTAATTAGCTCAATTTAGCCATTTCACAATGAATATATGCAATTTTTGTTAATTAAAAATAAATTATTTCTTAAAGTAGTCTGCAGATCATCAGCTCCATCATCATTCAGAACCTGATTAGAAATGCAGAGCTGGCTAGGGATATAGCTCCATGGTAGAGCACAGGCTTAGCACATGTGAGGCCCTGGGTTCAGTCCCCAACACAGCCAAAAGAAAAAGAAATACAGAGTCTCAGGCCCCATCCAGTCCAATTCCATCAGCATCTGCATTTGATTTGGGGTTTTTTTGGGTTTTTTTTTTTTTTTCCTTTCAGTGCTGAGGCTAGAACATAGGGACTTGCACTTCTTGCTCTGTACTAAGTTACCCCTGCAGCCCGGTATGTACATTTTAACAAGACTCCTCCACCTCCATGCATATTAAAGTTTGAGAAGATCTGTTTTAAAGCATGGCTTATCCATAGACAGGTGTTATGTTACTTCAGTCCTCTGTGATGGCTGCTGAGCAATTGGTCTAATTAGCTCACATATGTGATTTGCAAGCCCAGCTCTAACATAACTAGCTGAATTGCTTTCTTGCTAATGTCCTTACACCCTTCACCCCTGTTACCCTTCCATTGTCCCATTCAGCAAAACTACAATTTGAGGCCAGTCTAGCTGTACTCTTATAACCTGGATTGCTGAAGAAAAATATCATATATTGTTCAGATTGGTCCCTCTACAAATACGAAGCCCCTTGCCACTGAGCCCTGCTGTGTATTTCCTGGTCACGGATTGCACCCATCTTTGCAGCACCAGTGCCTAGAACAGAGTCCAGCATGTGGCAGATGCATAGCAATTATTTGCTGGGTGAAGTCTTCTGCATTCCACCTGGGTGCCAGCAGTTCTGCCACAGCCTCAGCCTGCTGCTGATGGCTTTTGGCCTATTTGTATTCTTGGTGAGATTCCCCAGCATTGAGGGTGTGCGTTTTATTTTGGATCCCTTTTTCCTGTTCTCATCATTTATTAGTATGGTTAGAGAGCTTAGTTAGTCCCTCATCTTTGAAATCAATTTCTTTCCTTCTATATTAATTCTATTTCAAACTTACCCATTCATCTCTCTTTCCCCACGTTTTCTCAACTTCTTGCCACCCAGATCCTAAGCATTCCTGCATCAACTGTCCCCTCTCCTCCTGTGGCAGAGAAGGGACTGTCATTGCCCCCAGCCTGCCCTGCCACAACTGTTCTCCCCAAAGTCACCTGACTTCCAGGTACCTCAACCCTAGCCCTGTGAGCTGCCCCCTCTTTCTAAAAGCACTGTCCCAGGGACACCTGCTGCACCACAAGCTCCTGGCTTTTCTTCTGCCTCTGGCTACTTCTCAGTCCCTTTCCTGGGTTTCCCTTCCATGTTGTCCTTAAGGCTATCTTGGCCCCCTTCTCCTTCAGTACATGACAATCTCTGCCTCCGTGGCTTCAATTATTATCCATCAACTGATGGTTTCCAAATAATTTCCAAGTTGGCTTCTCTTCTAACCTCCAGGACTACCTATCCAGTTACCTACTGATGAATCCATATTTAGCTGAAAATTGAACTCCTCTCGCCTCACCCCTCCCTTCTCCAAGTTCACCCCATCTCAGTGTGTACAGAGTCATGACCAGCCACTGCCCTCTCTCCAGACCTGCCTCTTGCTGCTCTGTCAAGCTCCAGCCTCACTGAATCCCTGAGGGCTCTGAGCACATGGGAGCTCTCTATGCATATTTTTCCTTTTGCCTGGAATGCTGTCCCCCAAAGCCCCCTCCCCTCGCGATCATCCTCCTCAAAATAACTTGACTAATTCCTTCTTAGCAGACATTCCTTTCAATATTGCCTTTTCTAGAAAAATAGAATTTAAAAAAATAAACAAAACACTGACTTATTCCAATTGTTTTCTGTCTAGGTAAAGATATAACTTAATACCAAAAGAAGGGTTTTAAATAAGCATCTGGGTATGCATTAAGTACGTTTTCTCTTTAAACTTCGACCTTTTTGCC